ATCGTTGGTGACCGACGCCCGCGCTCATTGATGAACTTTAGACTTCGCTAATGCTTTCGTTTCCCCGGGTGTAAATAGCCGGGGGGAATTAGTACCCTCGCACGGCGCTTCGCGCCGCCGGCTCGGGGATAACGGCTAGAGTAAAGCAGCAATCTTGCGAGCAACCATGGAGGAGGATGGAGGGGCGGAAACTTCCAATTCCCGCCCTAATTTAAAAATGAATATCTCCTAAACCAGTAAAACTTTGCCTCCGAAATCTTACGTCTTTTCTTAAATATTTATGGGTCTTATGTGCAGTGAAAAATTTGGCGAACAAATATTTCGAAAAAAAAATAGTTACAGCATAGTGGTTAGTACCAACAGCAAATTAATTTCGGCATTTTTAATTAAATTATAATAGTTACAAAAATTAGTAAGCACTTGTTAATTAATAAGAGAAACTATTTTTTGACAGACTACCTGTTTATCGTGAAAAACGGCAGCTAAAATGAAAAATAAGGAAAACAATTTTGAAATTTCAAAAATCGAGGTTTTGCATTTAATTAATGACGCCATACAATGACGTCCTAATGTGTTGCCATGAAAACTTATGCCTGAGCAAGCTAAGTTGTCCACATGTAAAAGTTTCATTGAAATACACCAAATGGTTCAAGAGATATCGAGGGCGGAACTTGCCGTCCCATAAAGCTCGTCCAATTTTGGCAAAATTTCCAAACATCACTCGTACCATTAATTCCTAATTGTACTCGCCATCGCATAATTACCTATATACGCATATATATATATATATATATATATATATATATATATATATATATATATATATATATATATATATATATATATATATATATATATATATAGGTCATTTCATGATGGTTTATAATTATTTGTTAATGAAGTGAATTATGATGATTTAGGTGCTATATTTTTATACGAATATATATTATATATATATTATATATATATATATTATACCGGGTGGCCCAAAAAAAAGTACTCCGGTTTGATTCGAAATAACTTCTAAACAAGTAAAGCTTTTAAAGAGAAATAACTTGCATCAAATAGAGGAAGGACTAACTTAGATTTTGATATATTACAGTTGTATTTCACTTAAAAATTCACGGAGATATTAATCTTTAAATTCGGGAGGATATTTCTGGATGTGTCTGAAATATGCAAAAATCGGCGTATCAAATATTAATCAAGATTTGCCCGACTGAAATATGCACTATTACCAGTAAATAAATGACACTTGACAAATTGTTTATTATGAAACAAAGTATTATTATATCTACAAAATACAAGCAAGATTCATTCGTCCGAAATTCGCGTGTGTTCCTAGCGCGAATACGTTTCCTTATTTCATGAGACCACTGCATCGCGAAGGATCGTCATTGGATCGTTCGTAGTTCTGAATTAGGGCATGCTGTCACAATGGAATTGTGAAGCACTTCTAACTTCTGCAACGTTCTGAAATCTTGTTAAGAACACCCAAACTCTTTTGCCTTTTCTTAATCTTGGCAAGTTCAGAGTAAAGTGAGAATTATATGAAACACAATCAAACCATATAACTCCATAAGACATAACAATTAAGCAACTCCCCAGAGACATGCAACATTTTTGGGACAAAACGTAACAAAGTAGTAGCGTTGATACTGTTGATACGGTGATGTGTATTTGCAGAAAGCAATATTATTTCCTTCAATAAAGAATAATATTCATCCTGCTCTAACCGAGAAATAATCAACTCAGTCTGTTTGAACCCATTAAAAACATAAAATAATTTAGGCTACTGTATTTAAGAAAAATTTAAGCGCCTGCCTGCCTTCCATGGTCTTTGATGTACTTTTAAGTTTGTGAAGACCTAATATTAAATACTTGCATAATTTCGAACGTTCATATTTCAGGAAACAATGAGCTAAGACTTACATGTAAGATGTCTAAATCTACGCCATATCCTTTACAAACCCTAACTGGATAATTCGCTGAAATACAAGTTAGCCTGATATGTCATTAAGCAAACAAACGCTGGAGTTAATATTTGATATGCCGATAATACACATCCCAAAACATGCTCCCGATTTTGAACATTAATATCTCCGTGAATTTTTAAGTAAAATACAACTGTAATATATCAAAATCTAAGTTAGTCCTTCCTCTATTTAATGCTCTCTTTAAAAACTTTACTTGTTTAGAAGTTATTACGAATCAAACAGGAGTACTTTTTTTTCGGACACCCGGTATATATATATATATATATATATATATATATATATATATATATATATATATATATATATATATATATATATATATATATATATATATATGACAAATGCCATATATATATATATATATATATATATATAGCTGTAGCTGCATGGATAATATAGAATCTATAATCAAGCAACATAATGCTAAAATTCTTAAACCCAGCCCGACAAATGACGTTAACAGTCAGTGTAATTGCCAAGACGAGAATAACTGCCCATTAAACAATGCATGCAAGACAAAGAGCATTGTATACCAAGCTACAGTGACCCCATCGAACCAGCCACCTAAAATATACATAGGAATGACAGAAAACGAATTCAAAACGCGGTACCGAAACCACAAATCATCCTTCAACAATGTTGAGCACGCTGGAAGTACAACGCTCTCGAAGTTCATCTGGGAATTAAAGGAATCCGACACAGCTTACGCAATCGAGTGGAAAATCCTTAAGCGTGCAAATGCTTATAGGAGTGGAGGAAAGATATGTAACTTGTGCCTATCCGAGAAAATCTGCATTCTAACAATCACTACTGAATAAAAGATCAGAATTAATAGCTAAGTGTTGTCAGGAAAGGAAATTTTACGCTTATAATTACAATCCACCGTAAAAGCACTTTAGTCTGATGATCGCCTTTGTGCGTGAAACTCGAGTAACTTTTATCGTAAATAGGTTTAGGTTTTATTAAATTATCTTCAGATATCATGTCTTAGTCTACACCTAATAATATATATATATATATATATATATATATATATATATTATATATATATATATATATATATATATATATATATATATATATATATATATATATATATATATATCTTTAACCCAATGAGTGGCAGCACTCTCCCTGATTAGTAAAATCGTCTGGCATTAGAGTAAAATAATCTGGTGTTAGACAGGGTAAAATAATAAAGTGGGCGCATTGCTACTTGAAGCGTTAACATGGTACATTTAAGCAGATAGTCAACCCATTGAGTTGCATGGCAGCACTCTCCCCCTGATGAGTGAAATCGCCTGGTGTTAGACAGAGTAAAATAATATGGCGTTTGACAGAGTGAAATAATAAAGTAGGGCGCATCTGGGTACATTGACACTTAAAGGGTTAAACTGACTTTGAATTAACTATTAACTAAAAAATGTGTGTTGAAATGACATTTAAACAAACTTATAAATGCCAGTTTAAGTTGTGTGTTACACATTGTAACAATTAGTGTGTTAATAGTTTGTTATACTTCATATAGTTTAATTAACACACCCTGATAAATATCTCTAATGTAAACTACAATGTCCAATACGGCGAGGTTCACATAATTTTAAAGCAAAAATATGCAATGGAAACAATAATTCTTGTTCTTGACTTATACCGTATTCTTTATAGTATTAAACTATTCATAGAAACGGGGGGGGGGTTATAAACTTTCCAGTATTTTATAGGGGGGGTCTTCAACATTGAGATCATCAAAGGGGGGAGGGCCACAAGATTCTTGTATATGACATAAGAATCTCCCAAACCCATCCTAGGGTATAAATAATGAACGGTCCCTAAGACATATGTTTCAAACTAATCACTTTGATAAGTTGGATGTTGCATTTAGTTTTATGTCGTACTAATGCATGCAAACCCTGCTATCAAAATATTTAAAAAAATATTTATTTCTTTTGATGAATCTTTTGAAGATTTACTGACATTTACATAAAGTGGCCAGGTCGAGTTCATGATGCCAGAGTACTATCAAACTCTGGAGTATTTGGGAAAGCTGAAGCAGGATTACTTTTCCCAGATGTGAGTTTATCATAAATATTTTAAATTTACAAAAAAATTTAAAAATTTTAAAAATTTACAATCTATCTTTGCCATAGTTAACAAAACAGATTTGTGAGTGCAATGTTCCAGTCATGCTGGTTGGTGATCCAGCTTATCCACTCTTGCCATGGCTGATGAAGAGGCATCCTAATGATGGCAATCTCAGTTCTGCACAAAAGAAATTTAATTATCGCCTAAGCCGAGCAAGGCAAGTTGTGGAGTGCGCATTTGGCCGTTTAAAAAACAGATTCAGATGCCTCTTGAACAAGAATTATACAAGTTTAAAATACTTACCAACGAAAGTTGCAACATGTTGTGTTTTGCACAAAATTTGTGAGATCAGGGCAGACAAGCTTACTGCAGATTACTTTGAGGCTATTCCTGATGAGGATGTTTCAGATTTTGCTTTACAGAATATAGACACAAGTGCAGAAGAGATAAGAAATTCTTTAACTAAATTTTTTAAAACACAATAAGTTTACAAACTATGTTTAATTTGTAACTATGTTGAGCACACAAGTTATAGCCTTCATATAAGTTTAGTATATATATATAGCACATGGATAACAGTTACTGTGCTAATATTTGTTAACAATAAAATTAAAATTTGTAAAATGTTTGTTGACTGTCAATATCATGGTGAACATTATAATATGGTTGTTGAACAGGCTGTGACCTCCCTGCAATTGCATTTGCAAGAAGCGCCATTGAATCTTTGTATGCGGCAAGCTCTTCCTTTCGCAACTCTCGTTCTTTTGCTCCTTCTTCTTTCATTTCTGACAAAAACATTTTGTCAGACTCTTTTAGATATGTGTTGTGTTCCTTCATCGCGTTTTCAAATGCCACTTGCATCTTAGAAGGCTTTCCTTTGCCCGAAATTGGTTTACTTTTCTTGCTGGCGGATTTGATAGCCTCTTCACTATGGGAAGCTTCAGATTTCTCATTTGCTTCGTCATTTTTATCATTAATATCTACATAACAACATATTTTATGTTTGTTACCGCAGCTTAATAATAATACAAAAAATATGGTACACACACACAATGTCTTATTACTTACCTGGTTCTATGGAATCGCAATATGGACACACAAGTTTATCATCATCAGTGTATACTGCTGTGCTATTTCCAATATGAGCACCAGCTGTCATTACTTCAACCATCTCATTGTACTGAGGACATTTTTTCTCAATAATTCTTCCCTCGCCATACTTTTCAATAAGTTCGTCACCTAGAAAAAATGAAACAAATATTTCACCTCTAGCCACAAGAATAAAAAAACATTTCCAGCCAGCTCCCTCGGTGTATCAATCCCGGACCCACCTCCCTGACCTTGCATGTACAATTATGTTTGTTAGGGGCGGACTGATTAGAAAATTGATGTTGGGGGGGATCGCGCAAAGGAAAACGAAAGGGAAAAATTCGTGCAAAGAGGGAAAGCAAAGGAAAATACCTTTAACATTCCGAGAAAAAAATTCAGCACAAGGAGACGGCCAGAAAAAATATTCCTGGAAGCTGAAAAATTCCCTCCCCACCCCCCACCCCCATCACTTTTCTAATGGTCTGCCAAAATAACTTACCGAGTCAATCAACGCTTGTAGTTTCTGAAATTTCAGCACCAGCAGATGAGCATGCAGCATCACCAGATGTATCAATACTGTTTTTCAGTCCTTCTGCTTCTGGTCGATCACCCAAAAAACCGTCCATTATCTGAAAAAAATTGGGTTCTTTGCCTCTCCCAGCTCCAGAACGCGACAGGTTGTCTTTAAACTTCTTATATTCCGACTTCATGTGTTTAAATTTAGTTCTGCACTGCGTCCAATCACGGTGTATGCCTTTTTTTTCATAATATCACTGATTTTTCGATAAATATCGGCGTTTTTGTGCGTACCTTCTAGCTTTTTTTGAATTTCCTCCGTCCCATATGCTGAAAGAAGTGCTAAACACTCTTTTTTCGACCATAAATCACGTTTTTGGGCCATTTTAATAACAAAAAATACTGCTTTCTTCGGCTTTTTTCTGTTTTTTGCACTGATAAAAAAAATTCCTTCAAAGGCCGCGCGATTGGCGGGAACAGCATGGGAGTTAAACCATGCTAGATCGATGTCTTGCGTTCTTTTGTGTTCACACATAAACCAGATCGATCGGAGATCGATCTCAGACCACCTTTTCAAGCGGGCTGACTGAGATCGATCTGAGATCGATCTCAAATTTTTACGACGGTTCACACTTAGCTCGATTTACTTCGGACCGATCTCAGATCGATCTAAACGACTAGTGTGAACAGGACCTATGAGAACCAGGCTGGCTTGCCTAAGCGATATCTTGTTTAATTTGTGAAGCCGACAGAGCCTCAGATCTCGCCTAGGTTGGCTGGTTTGCCTAAGCCGCTGAATACGAATATATTGTACTAATTGTAGTAAATAAGACTTTCTGAACAGATTTTTGATCTATAATTTTATAAATTAATGCCTCTGTGAACAGTTGTGACGGTCATAACCATGACAGTTTCTCGCGATGATTTGTTTTGGTGCCAGCCTGCTACATGATGAAATTAGCTAGGCAAAGCCACCTAGCTCAGGTAACCGGGCTGGCTTGCCTCCATATAAACACCCCTAACACATTTAGTTTATAAAAGATTTTGATCACAAATACTTATATGATGTAAACAAACTCAACTAATAATTACTAGTATATTTTCCACCCTAATTGTAAGTAAAAGCTTGCATATAAAAACCTATATAAGGGCCTGTCAGGCTAATTTTTAGACACCCAATCTTTTTAGGCTAGTATTTCAGGTTCTTATTTTATCACATGGAGACCAGTCAGATCTAAAAGTGTATAAAATCAAAGAGAATAAACTCTTCACAAAGTAATGAAAATGTTCGACAACCCTGAAAATGTCATTGAGATAAATAAAGTGTAGCTTTACAGTGCATACAGCTTTGTATAAGTGCATATATACTGGCATTTTTAGATGATCATGACTGATATAGTTACTATACATGTCTTGTCCAAAAGTGGGGTCTGGGGGTTTGAAATCAGAGCTTTCTTTCTCCTAGATGGATTGCCAGCCAAGGCTTATGAGCCCCATCTACACAAAGCAATCTGATTTTAAGGTGCCAGACACTTGCCAGTTCATATTGTACTATAATTGCCTGATTTTGTGTCACAAAGAGTGGCACCATCACATTATCTATGTTGCCAGAACAGGCTGTCGTGCATGGTCTGTTTTGGGACAAAATTGGACAACACAGTAAAACCCTGCGAATAAAGACCTAGATTTTTTCCAAGTTAGCCTAAACAGGTTCTTATGTACAGAGTCTGAAATTTGCAGTATTCCGATATCCACAGGATACCAAAAATTTGGTTTTGGATACCAAACTATGAATGATACTATCCTGACTGGATACTAAAGTGGGCTCCTGAAAGTTTTTGAATATTATCAGTTTACCACCAGTCTTTCCTCACTGAGGACTAGCATATAGAAGTTTGTTGAAGGATTATGTGGATTAATTGTTTATTTGTTGTTGACTGTGGAGTCTCCTCAGTTGTTATTGTAATTTGTAACAGTGAGCGTTATGGAAACTTATTTGGATGGGACAGGATATAATACTTATGGTACTGGTAACCAGTGTCCAGAAGTGGGATACTGGATTCTCAGGAGGGATACTAAACTTTGAATCCTGGTATCCCTTTTGGATACTGAGAAAAAATATAAATTTCAGACCCTGATGTAAATGGTGCTTATCTGATTGTTTATGTTACAAACTGTAATTATATTATAGTAGCTATATATATTCAGTATTCTCAGGGGGCATATAAAGGCTATAAATAAAGCCCTGGAGTCATGTTTGTGCTTTACCCCTTGGAGTTCTCCTTTAATGTCTGTATATATATATATATATATATATATATATATATATATATATATATATATATATATATATATATATATATATATATATATATATATATATTACGCTAACCATATAACCCAATAAATCTGTTAAAAAAAGAAAGATTCGTTGATGTAAATCAAAATTTCATCAGTGTTTCTTGGGCATTCTGATGAGCTCTGATATAGAGCGAAACAAGTATATATTTAGCAATTGTCCTCCGTCTTGAAGAGACATGATAACCTGATCACCAGGATTTATGAAGCTAATATCAGATCATTCAGTTGTCACAAGAATATCATCATTTAGTGTCAATATGAGAGTAATATCAATGAATTCATACTTCCAGTTCATAATTTCAAAACATACATTTTTATAACACAAAAAAGTTGAATATAATTTTAGCGTCTCGTACTCTCGTCACTGTCAATCTATTGAACTCTTCTGTTGTACATGTTTACTATTAAAACAGCTTCCATAGCGCGCACGAGCTTGAACAAAAGCTGTTTATCCAGCTTTTGCACGGTCAAAAATTTCGCCCTTGGCTTTGCCACAAAGACAGGAACTGCAGCCACATTCTCAATCACACTTGTTTCGAATTTCATCCAGCGAAAAGCTTTCCCCAAGTGCTTCTGTCATAATGACAACAACAACTCTGGCAACATGTTTCGAGGGATTGATACCACATGAACTATTTTCGTGATTAGACACAAACTCCAAAGGTAAACACTAAACACAAATTATTCGAACTAACACCTTCGGGATTTCGGTCGCCGCCCCAGCTGTTGTATATAGCAAGTCACACAAGGTTCAAAGCGGCCTCTTCATTCACGATGTTTACAGTTAAACAGTTACAGATTGTGTTATTGTGTACAAAAATTTCCAGTGTAGAAATGTACAATAAATGCAGCGAAGTATTGTAAAACATTGCACTCCTCGGTCACAAATTATGTGGAATGTTACTTTGAACTCGTCATATACTTCATCTTATATAATTAATGTGGATCAAAACAAAAAACGTAAACAAAGTCCAGCACATGCGCAGATGCGACTGTAACCTACCTTTAACAGGATTTATGTGGCATTAACACATCTCCAAATTCATTGTTCTTGTCGTTGAATCCTCAGTGCAGTAAAATGTCAGTTTTAAAAGAACGTAAACATGTGCCTCTATGGGAAAGATATAAGCCTCTATGGGGAAAGATAATAAAGTATCAATCAATCAATTCATACTGGTTAAAATAAACAGCAGCTTTGGCTTTTTTAGTAATATTCTTGAATTTTTCTCAATACTTAGGGTTATTTATGGATAATTTGGGTAAAAATTGGCAGGAGCCAAATGGATAATTTGGGTAAAAGTCGGTAGCTCAATAATATTCTATTTTGTGGCTATCAATCGGAGAAAAATCAGAGCCGAAACCTATACTCGCCAGGGCACAGGTACCCCAGCGAGTAATTAGCCCATTGTATAATGTTTATGCATGACACATAATTTAATTCGCTGGGAAAGGTATGCAGTCTCCAAGTGCCCACTAGTTACAAAACACTAGCTGAAAATTTTCTTACGTTGGTTCGGCCAAGTTCACATGTACAGGTTTCTCCCACGGTGGGCAAACACCAGATGGCACGCCCAGCATTCCATCCTGGGACTCATGCCAAAGCTGACTAAATTCTACCTTCTCGAGGGGATATCGCTGGGGCTCAATGAGTCAGGCTGCATTGCACCTTGATGCGCCTTACTTTACTATTTTACTCTGTATAACGCCAAATGATTTTACTCGTCAAGGGGAGAGTGCATGCTGGCACTCAAAGATCGAGTCAAGAGTTATATAAGTCTACACTATTTAATGTCAAAGAAAAATATCATTACCCAGCACTTCAATATTTCCTCGATCAACCGCAGGATGCAAGATTGGCGTTAGAAATGCACCTTTTCATCTCCAATTGGGTAGGAAGTCGAAGGGAAAAATTGAAATACAAATGCTCGGCCTTTAATATGGAACCCTGTTTTAAAATAAAGTTCAAATTTATACTCTGTTCTTTCGTGTCAAAATCAATAATTCTTGCTTCACCATTTGAAAAAGTGCGTATATTTTCTTTTAGTTTTTAAAAATCCATCATTAATTCATCATTTGCCATGTTTTAAACCTGGAATTTTAAATTTATCCACAAAAATTGACAACTATTTGGACCAAATTTGTGAATTCCTTGCAAAAAGCTCCGAACATTCCTTAGTTTTCCTCAAAATTCCTGCCAGGGATCGAACTTGTGGCCCTGCGATTCCGGTGCAGCGCTCTAACCAACTGAGCCACAGAATCCAGTTGTTGAGGTCTAACCACAAGTTCATGTGTATATACTAGGGTACCGCCATGTATAGGTTATTTGTGAATATCAACATTTGTTGGCATCTCACTCGATTGAATAAATAGAACGGTATTAATATTTTCGGTAACCACTGAGTATTCTAATAAAATTCAATACAGTTTCCAATGTATTGTATTTTATTAGAACGGTATAGATGGAGATGGAAATGATCGAGTGGAAATTTATAAAGTTGTATTTTTCGCATCTATTCTTGATTAAGGTCTAATAAATGTATATAAATTTCCACTGGATAATTTCCATCTACAATATCATTCTACTATTATTCAATCGAGTGAGATGCCAACAAAATCTTGATATTCACCATAATAAAGCATTTTCTTGCACATTACCTTGACAAATAATTGAAAACGATAAAGAAATATGCAAGCGACGAACTGAAAAACAAGAAATTTGCTTGGAAAAAGATATATTCGAACCGGAAGTAAACGAAGCGTATGACGTAATTTTCATGCTCTGATTGACATTGCGTCGCGTTTGCTAAAGCTGTCTATTCGCCAGTACCGGAAGTGCGTCGTTGAAACAAGTCGCTTTTGTCGCAGAAAACCGAGAAATAAAGAGAACCTCGAAGTTCTTTTATGTTCATGGCAATAATAATAGTCTACACGCTGTGTAAAGCAAATGTTTTCTTTGTAGAAATGGAGTAGATCATTCCGCATGTTCTGAACGGTGAGTTAAACTTACGTTTGCATATTTTAGCGACTAATTACTCGTTGGGTCGTTGTTGGTTGAACTCAATACAGACACAATGATAATTCGTCCAAAACAATGAAACAGTCTGCGGGAACTATAAAATAACTAAATGAACGAATGAAAGAACAGCATCTAGTTTTGCGCATGAATTGAATTGTATTCGTTGATGTATAAATTAATTTGAACTTTTCCGTCCCTACACGTACCGACGTAGGTACGAAAAATATCTGGTGAGCAGCCTGTACGTGTGAGGAATTGCAAATTGAGAATTAAGCATGATCTTTCTTTAACGTCAGCATTTAGCTATTCATTCCTTTAAAATGTATTATGAATATCACCATGTGTCTAGAATTTAGTAGTGTTGAGGGTGTACCGGTGTAGTTCATACATTCCTTAGTCGTTGTTTGTCATCGTCGCAATATGTATTTAAAATAAAATTGTGAAAAATTTTATTGGTTGTCGCGGTAGATTCATGGTTAGTTTTTTCGAAAATATTGATTCTTGAAGTTTGCAGTTTGCCTGTGCAGTTTGCGCTAATACTTAAAATGAGGTTGCTATTTGTGCTACAATAATAAACATCGTATTAAATTGCAATGGAATTTACATTGGGTAATACTGTTTGTCAACGCTAATAGTCAACTAAAACCCAAGTTACCAAACATAGACGTTACATTATATATTTCTGTTCTGTTATGTTCTAAAATGCATTTGCCATTCTCGCTATCTATATTTGCGGAGGAATCATACAGTAAATATTGTGTCACTATATCTGAACTGTTATTTGATATGTGCTTGCGATCTGCGAGTACAAAGCCTAGTTAAAACTTCGTTCCCCGTTCTAACACTAAGAAAATAATATGCGCACTTCACAGAACATTTCCCCGTTAAAAACACAATACTTTGATCGTGAAATGACTGAAATACTACAAGTTTACACGTGTGACACCTAGCGAAGTTCGAGGTAAACTTCGTAGTCACCGAATAGCGTACCATAAGATAGAACTGTAAGATAGCGCAAGTTTGAAGAACTTCGCTTTCAATTACAGGATACGCCGTTACAGTCTCATTGCCTCTGCTGTCTATTACGTAGTAAAAACGAGATTGTTACAGTGCAATAAATCCAATAATAGTGTAGCTATATGAAGCCTGGTTTTTAGGGTTGTCTTCTACCTTCGATTACGTAATTTCGAGCGTAGACAGATTACGTAATTTCTTTGAGTAAATAGACAGACAAAATAGCGAATAGTAAATAGCATAGACAGATTACGTAATTTTTTATTACATTTTTTTCTGAGTTTACGAAATAAGCAGTGAGAAACGGATTTCTCATACTGGGGTGTTTGTGTTTTAATATAGAGTCGGATAAAGTCAAGTGTTAAGTGCCTCTAGCATCATATTACAGTGTGAGATTGGTGGATGCGAGTGATCATATATCGTAATTATCGTAATGGTCAATGACTATCGTGATATTGTTTGGCATCTGAAATCTGAAAATATGAAATGTGTACTTTGTTCCTTTATTTTCCCAACTTTGCCACTATCCCAGTGGACAGCTTTATGCAATGATGAAATAAAATTTCTTCTTTATAAATAAGATTTTAATTAACTGATATATCTCTTATTAGTTGCTAATGTAGCTTAAAATTTAATTGTTATGTTAGTATGTTTTTACTGTCCAGGTATATTATCTAAAATTGAAACTATGAGCATTTTTTTAATACATTTATAGCGATGTTAATCATGATATGATTTGTTAAAATATTGTCCAACCCAACTGGAGTTTCGAAACATATTGCGTCGTAAATTTACAAGTCAGAGCTGTTTGCTCTGAACATATATCTTTATATCAATGTTTTTCCTTGTATCAGTTTTTTCGTGTTTTTTATTTCTGTGTCATTTTTACTCAAAAACACAGCCAACATGTCTATACAACCGTATTCTGATGAAGAGCTGAACTACTTCAAGTTTGCGTCGTTCGTGCTAAAGGAATTCCCAGATGCTTTGCGTAGCATCTTTGTAGACGTGTGGAACACCAGAGTTGCACCAAATTCCACAGTTTGGGATGATTCACCTCGTGTACGCAATAAACTCCAAGGCGATGTGTCTGCAAAACTCCCTATGAACGAACCATTTGAAGAGTGGAACTGTACTGCACTATTTCAAGCTACTCTGTATGCAAGAACATTTGCGCTACCAGACAGTACAGGAAAGAAAAAGACGCTTGGAGAAATGTATTTAAAAGGACGAAAGCCAGTCCCTGCTCCATTCCACTCTGCAGTGAAGAGCTCGAGCAGAGATGCAAATGAGACGATTGCACTTGCCATTGACCAGCTTCGTCTTTTACGAAACATTCTTTGTCATACATCCAACCCTCAAATTAATAAAGTCACATTCGATGACTATATCAAGCACGCCAAAGATGCGTTTACTGCTTTGAATTTTAGCACGACATCTCTGGAGAGGATTGGGAACATGAGAGAATCGGATTTTCCTACAAAGGAAGTAGAAAAACTTAATGAGGGAATCAATCGTCTGAGGAATGATTTCCATCTGTTTCTTGAAAATGAGTTTAAAGGCACAGTTCAGCCTTTTGAACGATGGTTTTTAAGGCGCATTTGAGCCCTTTTAATTGAAAAAACTAACTAGGAAAATCAATTAAGCATAATTCAAAATCAATAAACTCGATGTTTTTAACAATATAAATGTTTTAAAATGTTAAAAACATTAAGTTTGGTGATTTTGAATTATGCTTAATTGATTTTCCTAGTTAGTTTTTTCAATTAAAATGGCTGAAATGCGCCTTAAAAACCATCGTTCAATAGGCTGAACTGTGCCTTTAAACATGAAATGAGTGAAGTGAAATATGAAATGAATGAAGTGAAACATGAACTGAGTAGCATTAAAGGAGTATTATCACAGACAAAAGATGCCACAGGTATGATGTTTATGTAATATTTTACCTTAATTGTAAATTTCCCAATTGGTAAGCTACATTAATACCACATTGTCATTAAATTTCCCCAACCAATGTTTTTCAGCTTCCTAAGTTGATATGCCACGCTCCAGAGGGGTATTCTTTATTTCTCAGAATAATATTTCACCGAATTCTCCGAGAAGATCTATGTTGTTGGTGTCTCGTCGTTGATGGCTGTTCAAACCGTTTCTAGCCGCAGGCAGTGCACCATCAAATAGGCCGTTTATAAGAATACAAAGTTTAGTTATTTTGCTGGGTAAACCACCCAAGGGGGAACCAAAAACTCGACAAACGAAACATTCGGTTGAGTGGTACACATGCTTTCACTGCCCAAATCCAAAAGAACAAAATCTAGATGCTTATGGGATGCATGAACGGTTTCTGACAATACATACTACAATAAAGTATACTCTCCTGGGTATTTTTCCCTGCTAGTAAAATGTAAACAAGGCAAGGGGTCTATAGGATTCTTGTCCTTTCTCGTGCTCAACATAGTGATTCAGGGTAACGGAATAAACAGTATATGAAAACAAAAATATATTCAAATTGGAAGTTATTAAAGTGGTCTATTTCGAATGCTAAAAACGAATCACTCATCGTGTCCAAATATCAAGCATGCAGAAATGTATATCGCGTATCGATTTCAAACCATCATCGTCCGTGGACAATTTAATCCCTGCAACCCCAAGGCCATAGCATCCTTCAATTGTTCTCCAACATTGCTTTTTAATTGGTCTGCACAAGTCTTGTGTTATAATGGTGAATTTGGTTGATGGATGTAAAAAGACACTAAAATATTCAGGAATGTTACCTGCATGAAAGATCAAACATCAGCAAGGCAGTAAGCAAATACACTAAATCGTTAAATTTTAACAATTTCAATTTTATAAATAGACGGTTGGTGTGATCTTGAAATTCAGAAAAAGTTATAATACGAACAGCTCTTTTTTGCAAAAGGAATAATGGTTTAGTTGTCATCGAATAAGTATTACCCTAAATGACAATGCCACATAAAAAGTAAGGATCAGGGCCTCTTTTAACATATAGACTGGGGGGGGACATGTCCCCCCCAGCCCTCTTAGTGTCCCCCCCAGTCGGCAATTTTGTCCCCCCCCCCCCAAGTGCAAGGTCCCTAAGAACTACCTGCAGTAGGTGGTCAACCTGCAATTATATATCAAAGTGAGAAAATGATGTTAAAGCTGTTAACATTTCTGAATTTTAACCATCATCTGCAGGCCCGTAACTAGCTATGAATCAACCGAGTCAGTTGACTCGGTAGGAATTTGGGGACTGAAGTTTAAACATCGCCAGATACCTAAATCATAGCTGAAATGATTTGCTTGTAGAGTGGAAAAAGGCATGAAATGGCATTTTAGGACGAAATTCTAGTTTAGTTTTTCCAAGCAAAGATACTCCAAAGAGATCACCCTATCTTGCTCTTCAGTAACACTGAGAAGACGAATGCGTCGATATCAAGTATCCGAATACATGTAATACAGTACTGTAGAATTTGAAGTGTGGTGAATGATAATACTATACCACGTGCATATTCATTACCGCATCATCTCATCATGTTGCCTTATTGCATGGGACTGGATTACATTTGGAAGACTGTGAAATTGCAGTAATTGTGTCACTATTTATAAGGTTAATTTCTTGTTGGAACACTCCTCAAAATGCTGGAAATAGCCTATGAAATTGGTTTCGAGTGTCGACCAGAACAGCTTTGTGAACACGAGAAATAAATTTCGTATTTTCGAGCGTCCATGTATTATTGTTCGGTTTAGTATTATACAATTAATTACTTTATGGTTTCCATATTTGGATGGCCTGATCCAAACACGCGGGAATGTTGAGAGAGTTAAGGAAAGCGCGCGAAACACAAGCCGAAGGCGAGTGATTTTGGCGCTTTTCTTAACTCGAGCAACATTTCCAGGTGTTTGGATCAGGCCATCAAAACACGGAAACCATAAAGTAATTGTTTTATAAAATAACAACTTTCCGTGTTAAAATTTAACTTTAAAAAACTTTCACTTTAAATTTAAATTTAATTTTCAGCTTAAACAGATATTGTAAAATATATGATTTCCCATTTAAAAGAAGATTTAACTGCAGCAGTGAAAACAAGTCACGAATATATTCTCTACCCATTTGTGTCATGCATTTTTCACTGATATAAATATTGTAAACAAAGTAAAAGTTTGTGTTTAAAAACACTTTTTTCAACCATATTATCGTGATACGACAGGAAAAAATACAAAAATATAAAAGTAACATACCTTTATCATTGTCTTTTTAGTAGAAAAACGTTGATTAAATCAAAACAGATTGATTTTTATATGTTTTTGATCGGATCTGAACATGAACCTGTCGTTGTCAGGAGCAACTGATTTTGTCAAAGCCAAAACGCCAGGCATAAAAGTTTTTATTCCAAAGCTTCTCTGCTACCATATTCATGAAAAAAGCATGTACATTTTTACTGAAACTATACGTCTTTTTGTGTGTTTCTTGCCAGTTTTCTCGAGTTTTCGTATTCGTGTTTTATATCTTTCAACTTTTCAATTTTTGTCAGCCTCGCTTTGAAAATACACAACTGCACTGATCTCAAATTAGTTCGCAAGCAACACTGGAATTTTAATGAATTTAATTTTTACATCTGATAAAAAATAAACACGTTATTTACCGGCAGCGTCGGTCCGGATGAGAAAAACTGTGCCCTCGGTCTTGAAAACGTCCCTCGCCCTTCGGGCTCGGGCCGTTTTCAAGACCTCGGGCACAGTTTTTCTCATCCGGACCTCGCAGCCGGTAAATAACATACATATATATATATATATATATATATATATATATATATATATATATATATATATATATATATATATATATATATATATATATATATATATATATATATATACAGGGTGTATAAAAAAACGCAACCTCGGAATTTCCTAAGAAATCACTTTGCAATTCTTAAGCATAAAAGATTTTAAGCCCCTGGGAATTGAAATCGAATTGCTAATAGATCTTATTACTGTTGTTGTGCATTAAATAAATGCATAAATTTTACTTTATGCACTCGCGTGTGCAATATTTTTGACATTTTAAATTCCCAGGCGCCTAATATCTTTTGTCTTTAAAACCATGTCGATTTCTTGGGAAATTCCGAGGTTGCGTTTTTTTTATACACCCTGTATATAAAATAATTTAATATTTTAATACAATTTTTCAATTGAAAAATTGTATTAAAATATTAAATTATTATTAAATGCTCTACAATTGTCTTGTATTGAGCACTCTTTATTCTTAAAAACTGGAAATTACTTGATGAAATTATATATATATATATATATATATATATATATATATATATATATATATATATATATATATATATATATATATATATATATATCATTGATGTTTTGGTGGCCCCCCTCAAAATTTCATTTTCCTGAGGTGACCCCCCTTTCACATCACTATTTTTTCTGGTGGCCCCCTGCAAAAACCACCAGAAAGAAATACGAAGAAATACGAAGAAATACGAAGCCACGAAGGTGTTTGCTATCCGGAAAATGAAGATGCAATTTACAAACAAAAATACACATAGTTTACGCAAAGACATATTACAGAAACATGCAGTGCCGTTGGAAGCTCTTTTTTATTGGGGGAGTGGGAACGAGGGCCGAAGGCCCGAGGAAATTTTTACTGAATTTAGATTCTTTGAAATGCCATTTCCTGGACTTTGGGGAAGTTTTGACAGAATTCTGATGGTCAGAAAACGGAGTTTTAGTATGATATTTGTGACGTTACTCTGAGTATGCATCCACAGCGGGCAAGCTGAAAAGTTTGCTTGGCCACGGTGGGAGTCGAACCCGCGACCTTTGGGATACTAGTCCAATGTTCTGCCAACTGAGCTACGTGGTCAAGTCGGTTCGAGTTGTTAATAGAGTTTTAGTATGTCGAAATTTACAATTTGCTTACAATTTAGTAGAACTAAATGGGCGAAGGCGTATTTAATTAACTATATATTGCAGGAAAGAGTATGGGTAATATGATTCTTTGCGGTTTGTCATGGATAATGTAGCCGCTTAGAATTAACTTTCCCCTTATGAGTAAAATTTTGATCTGGACAAGCCTGGAGAAACATTTCATCACAGCTTGAAAGAGCATCACAAAATTAGTAACATTCCGAAGTTTCGTTGCGAAATGTTGTAAAATGCGGATAATATAGCCTTGCGAAGTTTGCCGCTTTTCAGTCATTTTGCATTACAAATGGAATTGGTAATCAGTTTGATCATCTGATTATCAATTTCCCGTTTGTAATGCAAAATAATCGACTGAAAAACGGCAAACTTCGCAAGGCTATATATATTATCCGCATTTTACAACATTTCGCAACGAAACTTCGGAATATTACTGATTTTGTGATGCTCTTTCAAGCTCGATGTGATGAAATTTTTGTCCAGACTTGTCTAGATCAAAATTTCACTCAGAAAGGGAAAGGTCTATTGTAGAGGTGTCAAATCCGATCCGAAACCGATCGGATCGGATTCGTTCGGACTTCGGAACCAAAATATTCATTTCGGATCGGATTGATATAAAGTTGTTTCGTAGTCGGATCGGATCGGACTTCGATATCCGAAATAAAATGAATTAATTATCCAGCATTATCGCAAGAATTAATTATCCATGCATTTATCAAAGTATCATCGCGGTTGTCGCTGCATTATTCGTTTGATCAAATTCAATTGAACGTCACTTTGTAAGCTTCTTGGCATGTATTTCTTGCTTTTATATTTATTTGGTTAAATATTTCAACTCGAATGAGAAATTTATTTTATTTAAGAATTCTTCGGATCGGCTCGGTTTGGAATTCTTTTTCAAAACTCGGATCGGAACGGATTGGGATTAGCCAATTTCGGATCGGATCGGATTTTAAACATTGGGCAATTGTCGGATTATAAACATCCGATCCGATGCACACCTCTAGTCTATTTTCAGTATTTTAAAGGTATATTATTTAAATGATAAAGGTGTGCATGATTTTGAAAAAAGAATGATTATCAGCAAATTACTGTAAGGGCTGCTGCCCACAGTCCCCCCCCCCCCGACTGCTACGTCCCTGAGAAGTACTAAACCGAAAAACATTTACCGATTTACGATTTGTTTTACGTTATCCATGTAAATGCCGTGATTTCGTAAATCAGTATACCAATGGTTTATACTGACAATACCATTTTATAATATTTTCTCTGTTTAAACAACTAAAACTTTGTTATACTATTATTGCCGTAATTTTCCGAATGGCCAACCCGATTTTCCGAACATGTTAATTCTACAAAAGTTGGGGGGTTAACCACCCCCCCCAATACCCCCCTCGCTAGGGCCCTGCCTACAGGGTGTCCCAAAAAAACAAACTATTTATAAATTAAAACAAGACGCCTGCTCAGGCGTTCATACTGACCTGAAAATGACGACATACGTGCTATAATGCAGTGTACAAGAATCAAGTCGTAAACCGCAAGCAAATTGTACGGATTTAATTTTTAAAAAAATAAAAGACCTTTTCGGGAGACCTATGGTGCAAATCTATAACTAGGAGTTACTATCGCAAGGAAAGTGCTGCCTTTTTGCCACATGATCTGAATGCAAAAGTTTGTATTTCTAAACAATTCTCTAAAGGGAAGTTTACTTTTGACCCAATGGCATCATTTCCACGTTTCATCATTGGTAGAATGGCAGGCCTGCATATGAAGGTTATATCCCCTATGTTTCCTGCACAAATTTGTTTCTCGTTCATCATTTAATAAGCAAGTGGATATTAAGGTCTACTAATCTATTAGCTGGCAACACACACTACTTTCAGTAATAACTCTGACTAACGCCAGACAAATTTACACCGTGTACCGCCAGATGATTTCACTTGTCAGTGGTAGAGTACTGTCAGTAAATAGTTTAACAAACACATCTGCCAATTGTTTTTATTAAACCATTAGCTGGCAATGCACCCTACTTTAGTATTTACTGTCTATCTACTTTAGTATTTACTAAATTATTTACTAAATTATTTATTAAATTATTTATTAAATTATTTACTAAATTATTTTATTTTCATGTTTATGGTGGATTTTGTGCAACTGTCCTGAAATCATTACAGGTGTATCAACGTCTTCTCCCGAACAATCTGGTTTCCCAACTGACCATCATATCTTAGTATTTAAGATTCAAAAACCGATCTCTCGGGCTAAATCTATTAGACGGACAGTGTTCGATTACAGGCGCGGAAATTTTGAAGATCTGTGCAAGTCTCTATCTAACACACCATTTGATGGTACGCCCCCAGAGAACATTGACGAGCACTGGTCTCGTTGGAAGGAATGGTTTATGATGCGTGTTGATAATTTCATTCCAGTGAAATTGGTTATGGACACTAACTCGTCACCTTGGATTGACGGAGAAGTACGTCGTTTCATTCGAAAGAAATACGCAGCATTGAAGAAATTTCGACATTCCAAGTCTGCCGCTCGTAAACATAAACTACGAACATTGAGTCAAACCATCAAATACTTAGTCAGACGAAAATACCGTGAATATCTTGCCAAAGTCAAAAATTCTTTTCAAGATAACCCAAAACTATTCTGGAGTTATCACAAATCCATACTCCATCATCGTGTTAGCTCAAATGCAGAAATTTCTTTCAAAGGTGTCACGGCAAAGACTGCTGCCCACAAAGCTGAACTTTTCAACATGTACTTTTCTTCTGTTTTCACACCCTCACGACCTAACACCCATTTAGCTGATGCTAATAACTCCATTCCATTGAGAACTGATCAGACATTATCTGATGTTACCATCAACTTGAATGAAATTTCGGAATGTTTGAACGGTTTGGATACGTCAAAAGCATGTGGTCCTGATGGCATCCCTTCTAGACTCCTGAAGGAATGTCACCAACAAATCGCACCAAGCCTTTGTGATATTTTCAATTATTCACTAGTATCCGGTCGAGTTCCTTCGGAGTGGAAATCACGCCCATACACAAAAAGAAACAGAAAGAACCGGCGGAAAATTATCGCCCAATCTCACTCATTCCCATTATTAGCAAAGTCATGGAACGCTGCGTGTATAGCAGACTTTATCAGCACGTCCTGCATCTAATTTCTCCACATCAACATGGATTTCTTAGAAAGCGGTCTTGTGTTACACAGCTTCTCTCGTCAATTCATTCTATTGGTCAAAAACTTGATAAGAACACACAAACTGATATTCTTTACCTTGACTTTGCTAAAGCTTCGACTCTGTGGATCACTCTATTCTCAGAAAACTTAAAGCCTATGGAGTGTCAGGTAGACTTCTTGATTGGTTCTCTGATTATTTAAATAATCGTCGACAAAGAGTTGTAGTAGATGGCGTCGCATCATAATGGACACCTGTTACATTTGGAGTGCCTCAAGGTAGTATCCTAGGACCAATGCTGTTTGTCATCTTCATTAATGATGTTCCCAATGTGGTGGAAAATGGATCAATGTCGGCCTTATTCGCAGATGACACAAAGGTTTATAGAACAATTAAATCGGTTAGTGATTGTCACCAGCTGCAGCAAGCTTTAACCAACCTAGATGTTTGGAGTAGCGACAAGAACATCAAATTCAACGCATTAAAATGCAAAGTTTTATCCGTCACGCGAAAGAAAACCCCAATTTCCTATGTTTACTGTCTAGGTTCGGAACAGTTGCCGAAAGTTGAGGAGGAGAAAGATCTCGGAGTCACCCTATCCAGTAAACTATTGTGGGACTCGCATGTGAATGAATTAACATCGAACGCCAACAAACTGCTTTGTTTGCTCAAACGAACTTGTCCATCTTTAACGGATACCAAAATAAGGCGTACTCTTTACCTTTCCATCGTAAAATCGCAGTTATGTTACGCAACGCAAGTATGGTCTCCATTTCGCAACAGAAAACTGAGTGGAAAGATCGAGAGTGTTCAAAGGAGAGCCACTGGGTGGATTTTAAAAGCCAAGACTGGCGAGATGTCCTACACACAACGACTGCTGGCATTAGAACTCTTACCTCTTTGTTACGACAGAGAAATCAAGGACCTTATTTTCTTTTTCAAAGCGTTGTACGGTTATATTAACCTTAACATTAACGATTATGTTTCTTTTGTTGATCATGGCCGTACTAGACTCAGTCAGATCACTAGCGTTATCCTCCAAACACCTTTGTGTAATACCACTACATTTAAATCATCGTATTTTAACCGTATAGTTAAACCATGGAATATTGTATGTACAGAGGTTAATCCTGAAACTTTCCCCAGCCCCATCTCTTTTAGAAACTTTCTCAAACTCAAATACTCTCACCTTGTTCACACAGTCTACGATGTTGAATTACCCTGTACCTGGTCCTTGGTTCGGGACTGTCCCTGCCATAGGACTTAAATTTGTGTGCGTGTGTTTTGTGTGTGTGTGTGTGTTTATCTCTCCGTGTGTGCGTGTGTTTGTCGACACGTCTCTCATTCTTTCTCTGTTTGTACACCTCTTTCATTTCTTTCTTCTCTCTCGTACACTCCTTCATAGTAATTTTGGTAACATATATATTGGGTTTTTTTAAATAATTTGTGACTTCGCTGGCAGGTGCCTTGCGTGGGACCAATTTCTAGAGTCCCGTTCGTACCTTGCCATTTTGGATCACTCGCTAATATATAGTATAGCTATCCAATCATTTGTATATAGTCTCTTTTTTTTTCTAGTTAGTGAACTTATATTGTAATAATTTGATCCAAATAAATTTGTTAAAATAAAAAATAAAAAATAAAAAATACTGTATAGACAATTGCACTGCCAGCAAAGTACTGCCTGTATTAAAATGGGTTAATTTCGATTCACGCCCCAATTCAAAATTTTACATTTTTACGATTTTTATTGTTTCTAATTATAAATATCTCAGCGAGCATCCCCCCCCCCCTCCTTAAAACGAAAAGTACCATTGTAATCATGCGGGGGCGTCGAATGCCGTCAAAACATTACACAAACAAAACAATAATATATTTACTCACCGTTTGGCCAAACATTCTGTATTTCATATCGAGAAAAAAATTTGAATATCTTCTAAACTCTTCACAATTTGTTAAGAGTCAATGTGAATAAAATACGTCTTGTATTCAAGCGCTTTCATGTACAAAGTTTCGTTTGAATACGGCACAGAGTAGAAATATTTATTTTGAATTTTTTTAAATATTGGGTTTTGAGTCGCACGAACGCGTCACATTGATGCTTGGCCATATTTTATAGCCCGATCGATAGTGTGAAATAGTGTAGAAATAGTGTTTTGGATTCTGGTTCCAATAATACTATTACGAAAAAGATATGTCCAAACGGGCCGAAGTTTATATGTTCGGCGAAATGTATGGCTAGTTTACATTGTTCTTTATATTATGAAATATGATACCATACCTTACTTGTATTAAAATTCATGTTATTGTATTATGAAGCAAATGAGAATCATACAATAAATGTTTTAGTCCTTGTTGGTATTTTGAACGCACCGCCTTATCTTTACTGTAGCGCGCAAAGCTCTTCTCGCGGATTATATTTCGCGCAGTACTGAAATTTGCGCACACAGCGCTACACGAATTCTAGTACTGCGCGAATTTTAATACATTTACGTAAGATATATTGTCGACATTTGGCTAAAACTATCGTAAGGAATTAGGAGATTCTGTTCAATTAAAACTACGTTGTGTAGTCAAATTGTCAACCTTAACTTGTCCTTGTTCATATTCCAATATATTGTATAAGTTCGCTGGGTCCAAATTTTGGAGTTTTCGAGTCGTTTAATACAAAAAGAAAAACATTAATTCAACACGTAACAAAGTCCAGAGTGCGACACAAAAATGAATACAAGTACACATGTTTATGAGTCTACAACGTATATTTATAGTTGTTTATTAAAGTGTCAAACCTTTAACTTGTCCTTGTTAATTGTATTCCACTATATTCTATGCTAGGATAGGGAGATGGGGACTCAGGAGGTCTGGAACTGGTAATTGTGCGCGTGCGTACAAGTTATGCGCTAATAAAGATGCATTACAGGCATGGCATGAACCGGCTACTACGTACATAGATACGAGCTTGTTACGATGAAAAATAAATCAAGCAGTCGAGCAATCGATGGCATTTGAATCGATGGCATTTTGGCTTAATCGTTGCACCTTGAGCCTGCAATGCGCTAACGCAAACTCCATTTCTCGACGACGAAAACAGAAAACTAGGGATTTAAGACACTTGACCTTTCAGGTCAGTGTAATAACGTATTGTTAGAATTTGAATGCCTTTAGCACTACGCTGAACGCAAAGATGCGTAAAATATTGACAGGCCAGACAGGGTGCATATTTTGTAAAGCGCACGATTTTCTGCTCTTGGGAAATTAAAGCAGCTTCTTAAACAGTTTCTTTATGCATAAAATTTACTGATGTCAAGCGGCTTTGATGCACTTGTGGACTCAGCAGCTAGAGTGCTAGGGCATTCAAATTCTACCAATACGTTATTTCAATAGTTTGGCTTTTTTGGGACACCCTGTACAGGGTGAGTAAAAAAACTGACACCTTTGTTATTCAAATTAGCCGCGAAGGTACCAGTCTTTTTTTACTCACCCTGTACAGGGTGTCCCCAAAAAACCGAAAACTATTGAAATCACCAATAACAATTTAATTGTTAGAATTTGAATGCCTTAGCACTCTGTTGGTTCCCATGAGTGCATAAATGATTGACACAAGTAAATTTTATGCATAAAGAAACTATTTAAGAAGCTGCTACAAATTCCGAAGAGCAGAAAATCGCGCACTTTACAAGGAGATATGTTCTTAACTAAATTTTAATACATGCACCTTGTCAATATTTTACGCATCATTACGTTGAGCTTTTTGGTAGGGCATTCAAATTTAACAATAAGTGATTTCAATAGTTTTCGTTTTTTTCGGGACACCCTGTATACTAAAACACGTTCAGCGAGTTTATTAAACGGCTTCAAAAACGACAGTCTGGGGACCGTAAACAATTGTTTGCTAAGTTGCTAAGTGATATTAATAGAGAATTATGTTTATCAGTTGGATATTTGTGTTGCCATGTGTAAGGAAAATTTGCATGTTGTTTTGGGGTTATTAAAGGCAATTCAGTTTTTTTTACTTAATCCGCATGCAACGTAGCGTATTTCTTTGTTTCGTGGCACCACTGGTGAGGACTCAGGCATGCATGCGAACTAATTATGTTGACACAAAAGAATACGTTACGTTTCATGAAGATCTCTTCAGAGTGGCAGGATACAAGAATACAAGATTAACTAAAAAGCTTCCGACGAACAAGACAATTCAGTTGATGGCAGTTCACAAATTCAAGGCTTGAATATCAACGTGCGTAACATGCAGAAACACTCAATTTCTGGTTAGCGAAATTTGTTATGTAGATGTGTAAAGAGGATGGAGAATGTTATCCCCCTCGAACGCTTTATATTATTTGTTGTGGTATTCATTATCAACGCCATTTAGCGGAGTGTAATGGTGTAAATGTGTTTACCATTTGGACAGGAACGATAACAGGTATAATGCATGAGTCAATTCCTGGAGTAATCATCCCCCCCCGGACATCCCCGGGAATTTGCCCGATAGACAGTTCACGGGGGTCGGGAATTTGCCTTTCATATATGTGCACGGGGGCCGGGTATTGGAGGACCCCGGGGATTTGACAAATGGTTGACCAAAATCCCACCCACAAATTTTAAGGCAGCAAAACCTAGTTTCAGGCACGCATGTGGGCGCGCTGATCGTATTTTGTGCCCTCGTGGTCAAGGTGGCGTGAAATTTATTGTAAGAATAAGCGAAAATTATACCCTGTGCCATGCAAATTTAAGTACAACTATTAAAGGTTTATGTTTTATAATATTCCATAGCAGTTTAACACCATAATGTTATTAAATGACTATGATTATATGCCATTAAAAGTTTAATTAACGTTTACAGTCGATTTCACGAAACTTTGACCACAAATTTTCCGAACTTCGTTGCGAAGTTCACAAGATTGTTGCGAAGTTCAAAAGTTCATAATGAGATTCACAAACCAGTTCGTAAACTACGCATTTGATTGGCTTCTTTTACTTCA